CTAGCATGCTAGTTAACATTCGTGTCAGTCAGCTGTTGGCTCTCACGCAAGCCAGTAGAATCTTCCTACCTATTCGCTGTAAAAGCATGAAGAAATCGATTATTTCCACTATCGATGCGAGTTAGGAAATGCAAAGTCGGTCTTGGCCTTCCCGCTAACTTGGAGCACGTGCAAATCCGTATATATAAATTATTATATTATAAAATATATATATATATATATATATATATATATATATATATATATATATATATATATATATTTCATGTAATATAAATGTTCATCTCTTTTTAATAATTATATTCCTTGCGGGTTATTGTCCCCATCTTTGTCGCTGTTATCATAACATTTCGGCCTTTGTGCTCTCCGAATGTTACAAGATGAAGACATATGGTTTGTCGTTGCTTGGAAATCTTCCATGTAAACAGAAACAGACTATCATCACTGTTTTGTCCGTGTATTGCTTAACATATTGTAATGTAATTGTCATCTTTGGTAATGGTTTATGTAAGCCGAAAGCTTAGATAGGATTAAAAAATATATATCAATATTATATTTTCTTCCATCGTTTAATGATAATTTTATTAAGCTTATCAGACGATATGAAAAGAATTTACATAAAATAAATAGACAACACTTGTCTATATTATTTAATGAAACATGCATCAATGACAAAATGCTGCCTATATATATATATATATATATATATATATATATATATACATATATATATATATATATGTATGTATATGAGGGAGAGATTATAGTTGTTCCAGCGAGATATAAATGTATATTTTAAAGTGAGAAATACCCGCAAACGTTTTTGGTTATAATGCAGATATTTTTATACTTTATTTTCTATATTTTTTTGCTACACGCGTTTTGGGTCTTGCGAACTTCATTAGGGGTTAATGGTTATTTGCACATATTATTTAAAGGAATTAATTTTTTCTTACGTTGTTTTTTTTGACCATTGCCTTTTGTGTGTCGTAGTAATCGAAACTCATCTTGGACTGGCTGAAGAATGTTCCTTTGCTTAAAGATTATTAAAACAATTAGGATTGGTCAGCGAAACGTGAAGAGATGAGGTCTGCGCTCTTATCTTGATATGCCCTGATGTATCTCGTCAGACCTTCTTCCATTCTTATATATGTATGTGTGCTTTTTGCTAGTATGCGTATATATATTCCTCCTCCATACATATATATTCTTTCATTACAATGAAATAGTTTATATACAGTGCTGTTCGATAAAAGTGACTCACCTGATTTTTTTACTAAATGTTCTCCTCTTCGATGAAACGAAAGTTGAGCTAAATTCAAAGGATAAGCGATCTAAAATCCGAAGAAGAAGCTTTGAAAGCTCTTTGAATTTAGCAGTAAGTACTGTCAAGCATCCGTTCAGTATCATGTTCTGGGGATGCTTTTCTTTTCACGGAACTGGTTTCTTAAAACCTATTGGAAAGACCCTCAGGAACGAGCAGTACAAGAGAAATTTAGAGTCTCGTCTGCTCCCTTCTGCTGAAAGGGTGCAAATCGACCCCAACAAGCTCATTTTTATGCAAGATAATGCTCCCTGTCACAAATCAAAATTGATGAAGAAATACTTTGATGAGAAGCAGGTGAGTGTTATGACATGGCTGCCCCAATCTCCTGACCTCAACCCCATAGAAAACTTATGGAGCAAAAGTACAGGCTCTCAAGAAAGCAGTTGAGCAACAAAGAGGTTTTGATTGTGAATTTCATATCCGAATGGAATTCAATGCTTGGAGATGAGATTTGCCAGAACCTAATCAAGTCAATGCTAAAAAGGGTTGAAAATGTTATTCAAAATAAAGGAGGAGCCATAAATTATTAAATATTTCTAACTATATTACCTATTATAAATAAATTATACCTCTATTATTCTTTATTTAAAGCAGATCGGTTATATGTTTCTATTGATTATTAGTTGCAGGAAATAAGTGAGTCACTTTTTTTGCGTAGAGTTTTTCCCTAAATCTCATTTATATCCAAAATTATAATCATCAATAGAATACCTTAGGGTGAGTGAACTTTTTTACTAAGTGGTCAGGGAGGGGTCTTTATATTAGTAAGATTAAAAAAATTAGTTTGACCTCAAAAACAATAGGCGAAAAAAATTTTAAGTAAAAAAAATCAGGTGAGTCACTTTTTTATCGAACACACTATATATATATATATATATATATATATATATATATATATATATATATATATATATGCACACACTTTGTTTGATGTGTATGGTTCATGTGTGTGCGTAGATCCGTCCAGTGTGTTTGTTTTTGCTAGTATGTTTGTATATATTCGTTCTCCATACATATTTATTATATATTATAATATTATAAAGAAATCTATACAGTATCTACATGTATTTTGTGTGTGTGTGTGTGTGTGTGTGTGTGTGTGTGTGTGTGTGTGTGTGTGTGTGTGATGTTTGTTTAAGAGGGTGATTTGTTTAGTGCTAGTTTAAATTTGTCTATGAAGTTTGTTTCTTGTATTTGAAGGTAAGAATAATCGCCTGTTTGATATATTGACATGATTTTAAATTTACCTACGTTGCATTTGTGGATGTGTTGAAAACAAAGTGTTT